CGAGGGAGATAGGACCCTTTTGTTGAAAGACCTTCATGTGCAACTAATATTCTTTGGATTTCGATCTCTGTTCCAATCCGACCAATCACATTCTGTGTGAGCTACAGTTTTCCCGCCTGAAATCTCATCTTGCGCCTGTTTTTCATCTTTGGACCTGTCCCTTTTATATTTTGTTTTCTCTTCTTAGAGAGAGGCCGTGCAATCATGAACAATAACATACTCTATTTTGACATGCCCCGGTTCCGGCCAAATGCACGCGATTGAAATTTTAAAGCCCAAAATTGCAAGGTACTATGGCGAGTGTCTCAAAAACGTTTCAGAACGTCTAAAATGGGTATAGGCACGGAGCACAGGGTTTGGTTGAGCCCAATTCGGGGATGGTATCAAATAATAGGCAAAACAAAACAAAATAGACAAATTCAGATGTGAATAGTATCAATTTTGCTTTTGTCTTAATGTAAAACAATTCATGCATGGGCATGTATAGGGCATGTATAATGGTGCTATCTTAGGAGTGCCACGTAGGATAAATGATGAGGTGGAGGAAAGAGAACTCGTAAAAAAAGGCTTGTCTTCTCTTATTTAAGATAAGACAAGAGATGATCTTTTAGCACAATTTGTCTCACCATGTTTTAAGGAATTGCTAGTTATTGAAGATAAGGCTAAGATATAACCTATTGTAGACATATTTTTTGTCATCTCTAAATTACATGCAAGACTTAAGATAAGGGCTTCTTTGATTCAAAGGAATTTTATAGGATTTCTGGAGGATTGAAATCTTTAGGATTTTTTCCTATGTTGGTCCTTTGATTCATAGGATTGGATCCCATAGGAATTTTTCCTATGGAATCTTCTGTACTACATTTCATAGGAAATTTAACATCCACTCGAACCTCTTTTTATTATTCCTTTGTTTTTCCCGTGGCATCAAACAATCATTGCTAATTCTATAGGATTCAAATGGGCATGCCACTCCAACCCTACGGCCCTCTTTGATTCGCAGGATTTTCAAATCGTAGGAATAGGAAAAGTATAGGGTTGGAGTGGCATGCACACATGAATCCTACAGGATTAGCACGGAGTGTTTGATGGCACAGGAAAAGCAAAGGAATTGTAAAAAGAGGTTGGAGTGGATGTTAGATTTCCTATGAAATGTAGTACAAAAGATTCCATAGGAAAAATTCCTATGGGATCCAATCCTATGAATCAAAGGACCAACATAGGAAAAATTCTTAAGGATTTCAATCCTCCAGAAATCCTATAGAATTCCTTTGAATCAAAGGAGCCCTACACTTTCTTATTCCTATGTTTTCAAAATCCTACGAATCAAAGAGGCCCTAAGACTATCTTATCAACCATTGTACATGTCCTAATCAAAAAGGAGAGGTGGAGAGGCGTACAGTCTGCATCGCCGAATATGGAACACTGATGAAATATATAGCACTGAATGTACGTATGCTGTAATAGACAGTCATCACACATTTTATTAGCACCAACTTAACATTTGAATCGGTGAAACTAAATTTGAAACCACACATAATTAAGAATTACATCCAGAATGCCTGAGCGTCAAAGTACTTGTTGTATCTGGAAATTCTGTAGCAGTGAGCCGGGCGGCGAGCCGTGACCACAGGCCCGGCATCCGGACCACGCTCGACACGGAAGGTGGTAAGCCGCAGCCTCCACTTGTCGCCGTCCCCCAAGGTCTCCTTGACGTCTCCCTCTGGCCTCAGGCGCTCCATGAGACAGTACTCATTGCCCCCTAAGCCTAGCGCCATGGGCACGAGCTTTGCGTCGAAGTGCCTCCAGCCTGCTGCCATGTCCTCCTCCCGGTGGAACAACTTCTCCGTACCAACCTTCCACTCCGGCGGGGCTGATGCGATGTTACCGGCGCAGAGGTATCCGTCAATCAAGCGAGGAGAATTGATGCTTCCCTCGCCGGCGTGGAGACCGAGCCACGCATCCAACTGGTCGTCATAGTGGGCGTGGCCGACGACGGGCAGCTGCCAGTAGCCGCGCCGTGTCCACTTGCCGCTCGCCGTGCTGAAAGAGAAAGTAACGCCCTTCGGCATGACCGTGTCGACTAGGGCGGACACATAGATGTCGTGATCCGCTGCCACTGACCCGGGTGGCGCGTGCACCGCGTGCGCGGTGATGGTATTGGCATGGAACGGGACGCCGAGAAGACGGTCGTCGGCACTCCAGGACCACAACTTGTTCCCGGAGCCTCCGACGTCGACGTCGGGATCAACGGCGAGGCAGTGCAAGGCCCCGTTGTACATATATTTGTACTCGCCCCCGGGGTGCACTTCATCACGATGAAGGGAGTGTAAACCCGAGACGGACTCGAGGAAGTACAGTCTTTGGCCGACGGCCATGGCCGCCTGGTAGCCGTACTCGAGGCCTTCAGGGAGCTGAGGCGAGACGACCATCCGCGTCGTCTTGGTGTCGTAGATGAGGACACGGCCGTCGTCTTCACTGAATCCATCTGGTTTGCGACCTATGCCGACGATGCTGCTGCCCACGGCGGTGAACTTGGCCCATTCGCTCAAGGTTGCGCGTGCCACGCTGAGGGCCGGAAGCACCGGAAAGCGTCGCGGAGAGCTAGGGTGGGGGCCGCCTAGATCATCGCCGTCCATATCCAGCTTGTGGATGCCGTAGCTGTCCTTGTGGTCATCTAACACCACGTATAGGTGCCGCTTTCGCGTCTCCTGCGCCGCTGGATGCTGCCGGTTAACCTCTGCTCGTAAATCGCCATTGGAGGCGTATTGTCGTGAGCCGATCAGCTGGCTGTTGGCACGAACGGAAGGAAGGTGGCTGGCATGGCTCCGTGCAGGCCGGAGACGGGAGAGGAGAGGGTGAGATCGTGAGAGGAAGGATCGCCACGCCGACATCGTGCGTTGCCGGCAGACCGCAGTCTAGGGTTTGGGAACGCCGCAGATGGCAGATGGATATTGATGAT